AATTATATACCCTGTCGAAATTGGCGCTACAGGGGTTTCACCCCTGTAGCAAATATGCGCCCCATATAAATCCACTGAAAACTTGAAATTGTGGCACAACAATATATATGTACATAGGAGTTCAACTGTTGAAATAAGGTTGCAAACACAAAACCTCCTGTCCCTCATTGCCTTATTTTTTTTTTTTTTTTTAATTCATATTATATTCAGCTATCTAGCTATGACAATCCCTCATTGCCTACAACCCATGGGTTTTGCATGAAAACTAATATCCATGACAAACCTTTTGTATCATGATTTGTCACACACAAGACTCATGTGTGTGAAACTAGTTGTTGGAATCCCTCTATTGACCCCGTGTTGGCTTACCAACTATTGGACTGGCAACCACTTGGCCACTAAAATGATGGGGCGTCTCAACAGAGTCAAGGCACAAGGGTTGAATTGAGGTGGGTTCCAGCCCACCAAGGTGTTAGAGAAAATAAAAAGGCAGAGAAGCTAGCTATAATAGCTTCAAAAACTGACCCAGATGAAAACTGCCCAATGAGCTTGGTACAGATAGAGAAAGACACACACCCAAAACACTCGGAAATCGACTTTTCATCAATAACTTCTGCCAACCATTAGATACACCAATATAAATTTAATATTAAGTTATTGTTGAAAATATTAACTGTAATCATGAAAGTGCTATTCACAAATGTCTGCATAAACTATTCAACCAACCAGATGCACAATTATGCATAGGTATGGATGAGACCAGAATATCAACAAGGATTGCATGCATTGAGTTTACAAGGGACATGTCAAGGGTCTGCATGCATTAGGTGCATGAGAATTATGTCAAAGTCAATCATGCATTAGCTTTGACTACAGTCTTGACCAGGGTGTGAAAAATCAGTTCTGAGACAAAGTTTAGTGGGGCTGATGATCTGCAGTGGGATAGTTTGGGCTTCCCACATTTGAATTTCCTTCTTCACTTCATTTTCTTTTCAAGTCAACCCTAGCATGTATTACTCATCAAAGATGTATATAATCTGACTGCTGTCCCACCTTGGAAAACAATCTTGTAGTCAACATACTTCAATACCACAATCTTCTAATTCCATCAGACTTCTACCTTTGTTCAATCACCATCATCCTTCCAAAATTTAATTCAGATACAATATTCTTGAATAAAATTTTATCAGGTAAATAGTTATGCCCCACTAGCAGCTTTCAAATGATATAATTTTCAATATTGGCATCAACCAATTCCGACATTTTTCGATCAAAAACCAACAAAATTGCCACTAAGCTGTCGAAATTCGCCTTTTTATCTATAAGTTAGCCCACTATTGGTTACAGTCTCATAAATTCGATTTTCGTTTTTGCCTCATATACAGTATTCTTAAAATACAATTTTCGGCATTTGCAGCCCCACCTACCAATATCTTCAACCAAAATCCCGATCTTTTTGCCATCTAGGAAAACCTCTTCTTCATAGCCTCAAAATCCAGGTAAAAAATTGAAGACATAAAAAACATAAAATACAAAAAGGAACAAATAATTGTTAATCAAGTAAATTTTATATTAATATACATAAATTGAATCAAAATAAGTAAGTTCAATATTCATCATGCCCTAAAGTCCTAAACCACCTGAACCGCCCTCAGACCCTATCACTGAAACAGCTTGCTCCTCACCACTTCTTCCAGACTTAGTCAACTTGTCTAATCAGCCTAGAATTGCTGACTCAAAGTGGAATTTGGACCAAACCAAGACTTACTTTTTAGATTTCTGTAGTGACCCACTCAATGAGACTGAATTTTTATCAGAAATAAATACAACTAATACAAATCATGAACTCAAAAAAAAGGACACCCAGTGCTCTAACTAATTGTAAAAGGTTGAAGGTATTCAGAAGTACTTGAAGTTGTTAACCCAATGGAAATGAGTATTTTTTCCTTCGGAAAGCTAAGCTGGTGTATTGTATCCTGTCCTTTATGTCTTCTGCGTACGCTAGTATTAACTCCCCCCTTTAGCCATATGAGAAATCATCCTTTCTCCCAGCACAACTCTTCTCCTGTATTGCACTCCCCCATCTGGTCTCAAGAATGAGGGTTTGACAGTGTTCCACAGGGTGCGTTGTATAGCCTAGTGAAGATCTAGGTGGTAAGTGAAGAAAGTAAATTGGTCAGAGGGATGACAGTGTCACAGGCTCATACCTGGTTATCATTAGGCTGCTGCCTAACAAATTAGGCTTGAACTCTTCCAACCATATTAAACATCATACATGTCATGAACCCCTCCACAACTCATTAGACCCAAGTATAGGCCTTGGCCCAGTTCATGCAAATCTATTCTTAAATGACAAATTTAGATTGCAGACAGGACAACTCGAACACCAGTCGTGAGTCATCTAAGCCACATGCATCATAACTATTTTAATAACTAAAATTACTAACATTAAAATGAAGCTGAATTAAAATAGACGGAGATGCTGGTGTTTGTCTGAGGACAGGTCATGATTTATTTTGAGAATGGTATGAAATGAGGGAACGAGATCATAGTCTTGTAAATAAATAGGAGGCTTTCAGTCATGTCTCTGCTTGTTACTTTAAGATTTTCATTTGTATCTAGCTCTGAGTTCAGTTTGAATAATACGCCACTTTAAGACCGTCTCAGACAGGTCTTCTCTAGGAAGAGATGAATGGGCAACTAGTTGCAGTAGGTGTTATACGTGGGTCTTGCTGATGAAGAACTGGGCAATGGATATATGGTCCTCCCGAAGAAGAGATGGGTAAACAAATGTATTGTAAAGGGCAGATAAAGAAGACGTTGGGTGAGGAGTAAATCTCTCTCACGCTGAACTATTATATACAAGAGTAGAAGCATTTGCCAGCCGGAATTAATCGAAATCAATTCTTGCCAATATCTTTGCATTGATGGCTGTGTTCTTGTCCTTCTCTTCATGACTCTCTTGTATATCCTTACATGACATTTTACATGACTAATTGTATAGGGGAAGCTTTTATTAAATTGATGGTTTTAACTAACTACCCCTTCATCTTATCACGAATTAATATTAGTATTAAAATTCAATTTACGGATCTGTGAAACCTTTGAGCCATTATTCTATAATTTTGCCCAACCCTTTTGCTTTTTCTCCCATGCTCTTCTCAAAACAGCTCTTCTCAAAACAGCTCTTGGTCACATATCTGTCTCCATGCTTCCAAAGATTTTTCCCTCAGTAATTCCCACAGGAATGAGAGGGTGGTTAATTTGTCTTTTCTTAGGGATGTATTAAAATCTACGTACTCTGATCACTTGTATAACTTGATAAGAGACACTGCACAGCCAATGTAAGGCGTAGATGAATCAGGATTGAATTGATATCCCACATTAGTGATATGAGTTGGGTCTTATAGAAGTCCCCATCCACCAAACTGTGTTCCAATTATCTACTCTATTCTAAACATGTCTCATTCCCTTGTATAACTGAGAAGTACTCTGTCAATGACTTGTGTCATCAAAGAATGACTACTCCTTCACTAGACAGGTCGTCTCTACAACTTGTTGCTTACATTACTCGGTGATTACTAACTGATGCGTCTATTGTCCAGACAGTGCACGGCTCGTAACTAAGCGAGTCGTTTAATTCTATACCGGAGGTTCCACGTTCTGTCTACTAGGACATGATCTGATTCTCTAACAGGATGTCTGTTTTTGTCCTTCTCTGGCCAGGTCGTCCACTATCTCGCTCCCTTTAATTCCCATCTGTCCTGGGCATGGAGTATGGTGGTGATTCCTAATAGTAGGAGGTTATAAAGTCAGCGTTAGGTATAGGGTTCACAGAAGAGGTAAAGGTAAAATAAGTAATAGGTGAGGATTGTACAATAACAGCAGACTTCTTTAGAGAGGAGATAAGAATGTGAACTATAGGTATGAGTTTAAATAGAAGACGTTTCGTGAAGAGGAATACTCCTTCACTCTGGGCATATATGTACATCGGATAATAGGATAATAGGATATGACGGCTTGTGAGCCAATAAGTCCTGTAGCCTTTGATGGCTATCAACAGCAACCTATATTTTCTTTCACTCTGGGGATTATCAGCAGACGTAAACTGATACAAGATCACCACTGAAGCTACGTAAAGGATAGTGCCAGAAGCATTGGAAGCGTTACCCGTGTGGCAAAACAAACCTTAAGCCAGTTTCATTGCCACTGTAAGCGTAGGCTAGATTTAGATACCTCTGGATGTGTATAAGTAGTAGAGTAGACTTGCAGGTAGTTTGCTTCTACATAGATGAATTATAGCTTTAACTTTCAATCATACAAGTGCCCATTCAATTTCTATATTAGAACTGTGATATAAGACAGCCCTAAGCTCTGTCTCGAACAGTATTACAACGCAATCCCTATGAAATGAGCCTATGTTCCCGAGCCTGTCCTAATTAATTGCGAACTTGATCTAACCCCAAGTTGTATTTTAGAATGGAACTCCCCATGAGACACCATCCTAGCTTCCACTACATTTATCCATGAAAGAATGCCATACTAATTTTTGTTCAAGAACCATATCTGGTCCAAGATCAAATATCACACACCTTTCTTTCACTAACACATCCATCATATCAGCCAATTGTACCAGCTCCTAGACACCCCCTACGACCAAGGGTATTGACCTACGTCTAAAAGGGATGTCAATTTAAGCTTACACCAAGATATGTTATAAGTGGGAGGTTCTTGGGATGAATATTGGTAGATCAACAGCGGATTAGCCCGATTGTGGAGGATCTGAATTTGTGCATGTATGAGCTCTATTTTACAAGTGTCTCAATTCTAGTTTAGCTCAGCATTGCTGTTGGTGACCTTGGGCATCAAAGCATGATCTCCAGGACTTGCAGCTCACATTCCTCGATAAGTACGGGCTCGCACGCGTATTATCTGACTATGGCACGCAGCTTAGTCATAAAATTAGTTATGATTCACCATTGTGGCTTCTATGACATGGTTTATATGTCAAATACTAAAAGGCAACATCCAGCTTCCCATAGAATCCGCACAAAGTGATGGTAAATGTATAAAGAGTGGAAAGCACAAAATGAATGCGTGTGTTGTGGTATCTTCTCGCGCATCAAACTGGACCCGGCTGCACCAAATTCTTGCTCACACATTAAAATAGCACAAACTTGACTAAAATCATCAATCAATAGAATATACCAGACTTGAACCATTTTATCTTTTATAAAAAGCTCTGTGGTTGGAAATTAACCATGATATATTGTTTTTGTGGGACGGTGTTAGAGGCTGTAGCCTTATATGTGGATCCGGAACTATCCGGCCCCATCTATGAACAAATGCGCGCTAGTGTCACGGGAAAACGCGCTTGATTGGAACAAAACATCTTGCATGCGCGCCGTAAATATTCTCCTCAGATAAAATATAAATTCATTTTTGGACCCATAATTGTGAACAACAAATGTGAAGTCCCTTCACATATGTTTTATCTCACCTTTTTACACCACCAGCAAATGTCTTCATACCTCTCCTGGTTTTTATAAGTTTACATGTTCCCGGGAAAATTTAATTTCTATTCCTCCTCGGAATCATTGCAATTATCCGAAATATCATCAGAGTCACAAATTGATCAATCTTTATCAACTTCCAACACTCACCTAAAAAGCACCATGCCGAAAAATGATGCTGTAGATGATGCACAGCAGATAACAACACCCCTCACAATCACGCAAGAGCAATTAAATCATATCCTAAGTCTCATAACTGTACAGGATACACCAAGGCCGCATATTCCGAGACCCCCACCTCAAGAAGCAAAGAAGCAGTTGTCAAGGTGGCCCGAATGGAATGGGGCCACGGAAACTTATTGTGCATACATTGACCAGCTGATAGCCAAAATCGAGAGTGACTGGTAAATGTTGGAGGGGCACAAGGCTGTTTGTAACAAAATGATGAATACGCTCCCTACTGATTGCAAGCTTCGAGTTTCTCACTGGTTTTCATGTGGAGGACCTAATTTGGATTGGGACTACAAAGTTTTATCCAGCACTTTAATGATTCATTCGAGGATAAAACATCAGCTCGCACAGCTGGATCAACCCTGTCAAAGATGAAGCAAGGTGATAATCAACCATTTGCAAATTTTCTCAATGACTTCAAATATACTCTAGCCCAAGCAAGAGGATTGAGCTGGGAAGGAAAAGTGAAGAGCAACTTCCTCTACATGGGATTGAACAAAAGGCTGACAAAAGCTCTTTACTCCAAAGGCATTTCTGTTATGAATCTACTTATTGGCAGATTTTCGAAGCTGTTAAGCTGCAGAGGTCAAGTTGATTCCGACAAAGACAAATTATCAAAGGTTCAAGGTTACAAAGTTACAAAGGTCGAAGGTCGAAGGTCGAAGGTCGAAGGTGCAAGGGTATGAATGAAGGTTATCAAGGCTCGGATTATCAAAGTTACGAATTCATATGTTCAGATTATCATATTATCAAAATATCGAGTTCCCAATAAGCAAATTATATAATAATATTAAAAGTAACAAAATTGTTAGAACTAAAGAACAAATTCAAATTTCCAGCCTGAACAAATCCAAATCCTGTTGCCTCAGACCTAACCGAATTAAGAAGATAACCCCTGCATCACCACATCCAGACTAAATATAACAAATTCATAACAGTTTCAGAGGACAATTATGCCTTGTTTGTAAAACAAGTACAGCAAACTGCGAGTCAAATTGAGGCAAACAGGAGCTAGAACTTCAGGGATGGTGTCAAATACACCAAAACAAATTTCAATGGTCAATCGGAGGTTATCTATAAATCATCATCTGAAGGAAGGGCAGTTACTGGCGCGTCCCAGAGAGATAACAGACCATTTTTAGATGCAGACAGAGATACAGCTATGTCATGTATAAATGGCATTAGTATGGCGACTTTATCTGTAATTGTCAACAAGGTAAGGATGGATAAAGGAAAAGGAAGAATAGATGGAAGCAAGCCTCCTGCTCCATGGCAGTCTAGTGACAACTTCAATGCGCTTCAGACTACTGAGAAATGCACCTGCGGTGGAGAGAGAAAACATTTTTTAAAAAAATGTCCTCACTTTACTTGGGCAAAGCGACCTGCTACTATTAATGCCACATCCTCCAACACAAAAAATTTTAAAATAAGAGAGGAAAAATTCGAATGTGAGGGTGACATAGAGTCAGGAAAAGAGTGAACTCTGGGCAAAGTTGGGCTCAGGGGTTATCTAAGATTGTGGATTGTAATATAAAAATGCTTGTTTCTTCACAGAAGATACAAATCATAGTTTACCACCCAACTGTCCAAGTGCAGACACCAAAATTAAACTAATGAAAGATGAAAATGGCAGGGAAAATGGAATCCCTTTCGGCCCCTTCTACAATATGTCACAAGAAGAACTGTGTCACGGACCAAAAGCCTATTCTGGGTCAATAGGAGCTCTGTATGAAGATATCTGTGGTATTCTGCTATATTCTATCCTAATCTTTTCTGTTTTGTTCTATCCTATCTTACTCCATTCCATTCTAATCTGTTCTGTTCTGTACTTGTCTAGACTATTCTATTCTGTATAAGAGTATACTGGAAAGTTCGAGAACAATAGAGAGGAATATATAATGGGTAATTGGGATGACTTTAGTTCGGCAGATTATGGTCTTGTATTCTTAGGAACCTTTTGAAAATATAGAATTTGTGTCCATCTTGACCTTTTGACATCTTGATCTTTCAACATCTTGACCTTCTGACATCTCTGAATATTAATTTATCGAACTCTCGAATCATTGAACTCTCGACATCTTGACAAACTGTTGGTACTAAGGAAGACATTGATATACCATCTAGACAAAAATTGGATTTGAGCTAGCTCCTCACCTGGTGGTGCTCCAGTATTGTTTACAAAAAACCTTGGGGGTGGTCTTTGTCTTTGTGTAGACTATCAAGCTCTGAACGCAATAACTATTAAGGATAAATACCCACTACCACTTATAAAAGAAACGCTTAGAGAGGTTGCAAAATATACATGGGTATCAAAAGTAGACGTTTGCGCTGCTTTCCACAAGTTGAGAGTCTGGGAGGGTGATGAAAGCAAAACTGTTTTTCGAACTAGATTCGGATCCTTTGAATGGCTGGTTACACCCTTTGGGCTAACAGGAGCTCCAAGCTCATTTCAAAGATACATAAATAGTGTCTTGGGTGAATATTTGGGAGATTTATTGTTTGGTCTACCTAGACAACGTTTTAATCTATACATCTGGAGATTTAAATGACCATTGGGCTAAGGTAAACATGGTTCTTGAATGTTTAGAACTTACTGGTCTGCAATTAGATCCCCAGAAGAGTGAATTTGTAGTAAAGGAAACAAAGTACTTGGGTTTCATTATGTCAGTAAATGATGGAATTAAGATTGATCCGCTCAAATTTCAAGCAATTAAAGAATGGCAAGCACCCACAACCATAAAAGGGGTGCGAAGCTTTGTTGGATTTGCAAATTTTTATCACAATTTCATCCCAAATTTCGGTTGTGTAGCGGAACTACTGTTGAACCTTATAAAAAAAAATGTATCATTCTGTTGGAAAATGCTGCAGCAGAAAGCTTTCAATATACTAAATGAAATTTTTATCACTGCACCTATTCTAGCCCTGTGGGACGATCAAAAAGAAACTGTACTCGAGGCAGACTGTTCAGGATGCGTATTGGGTGGTTGTCTATCTCAAAACAATAAAAATGGGGCTCTTTGTCCAGTGGCATACCTATCAAAGAAGTTAAGTCCGCCAGAATCTTATTATGATATTCACAATAAAGAATTATTGGCTATATTTTGCTGTATGGAAGAATGGCGTGGTGTGTTGATTGGGCTAAATAAACCCTTTGCCGTACTTTTAGATCATCAAAATCTGAAACCGTTTATGTCAACACTATAATGGCTAGTAAGCCAATTGGTTCCTGTAGCGCATATTGGCCAACATGAGCCTAGCCTGACATTGGTAGCGCACAATTGATCGACATCAATGTGCAGATATATGATGCCACTCAACAGAATATCAAGGCATTGGCATCTAGTTTGGCAGGGCAGCAGTATTGGACCATACAGCTGCAACACATTGAGGTGTTACAACAAGTAGGGTCAACACATGTGAAGAATCCCATTGGATCCGAGACAGAGGGACTGTGCCCCAAGCACATAGACAATGTATATATATGTATAGATAGAGACTGAAATAGTCTTCTCTTCAGAATAATAATTTACATACTATTGTCGGAAATACAGTTTCCTGCTTTTCTTTCTATCAACCAATGTGGTTGCATGCATCATGCCTGAACTATATTTCTGAGTTCAGGCAGGAGCACATACTTCTGATCCAATCAGACTCAAAGATTGAGTCTGCTTGAATCCCATTCTTCCCTAACAAATCCAGTCATTGGTTTGTTTGTATTTCTATTGCGTGACCCAGTATTCTCAGTCAGTGGATAATTATTTTCTGGTCCAGGGTCCCACTTATTTCTGCAGTCGAGCCGGTTCTGGGTAACCTCTATTTCTTGTTATTCCACTGTATATATCATAATACCTGTGGTCTATTAGTCAATTAAGCAAACTGAACTTATTCTCTGTTCTCAGGCAATTCTTACTCCAAAGTCTTATCTATACTCTAACAACTATTTACCACATAGTTATACCAGCGCCTGTTCCTTGATCCGTGACAAACACGCAGGCTCAACAAACAACAGGTGCGTTGGTCACAACTTCTATTTCAGTTGAACTTCAAGCTGAAATATCAACCGGGAAGATTAGCAGCAAGACCCAACACATTATCAAGACCTGAGCAAGATATACCACAAGGATATGATGATTACCACCTGAATGACCAAGAATTGCAGCTAATCAAAGACTCATGGACTTTCTCCTTTTCTTCAGCTAATAAGATGAAGTCCCAAACAAAGAATAGTTCACCTATCCCTAATGGCAATAATATGTTTTCAGACCCTCTCAATCTATTGGCAAAAATTAAGCACAACATTATACAAATTACTATTATATTTAAAGCTGTTTAGATAGTTTTAGCTGTCCTTCATTGTCATAGACTCAGTAGGGACATAAATAAAATTCTATTCTATTCTATTCTATTCTATTCTATTCTATTCTATTCTATTCTATTCTATTCTATTCTATTCTATTCTATTCTATTCTATTCTATTC